TCCCATACTCCATCCGACTCCAGCAGCTAAATCTGTTCTCCGTCGAGCTCCGCCGTCGCCGGGGTGATCTCATCTACACTAGGCGCATCCTCCGAGGGGTACTTGGAAGTGAGTTACAACAATTCTTCCTGCCCAACACTGCCTGTTTCACATGAGGTCACACATGGAAACTGTTTAAGCAAAGAAGACAGAATTCGCATGGACATCACCCTATCCACTAGAGTGATGAATGATTGGAACAGCCTACCGAAGAAATTACATTTGCTCCATCCGATGAAATTTTCAAGCGGCTGATAGACAAACATTCGCTGAGAATGCTGGAATCTTGCGTCTGTCACTGCAACTGCGACGAACCCTCGAGGAACGTAATGCAACAACACGCGTCAGACTCAGTATGATATGGAATCGATGGGGTTGACAAGGAATTTCCCTAATGCTCTCTACAATTCAATGAACTCAATGAGCTTTCGATTACTCCGACGCTCTCCATCAAGTTCAAGTTCGGGTGGCACTGGAAAGAGAATCCCGTGAGTGTTCCAGCTTGAGTGGGTCGTTGAGTCAGGAATTGATGAAGTGCACAGAGTTATTGCTGGATCTAAAACGGAACACCCGTATCGCACCCTAACCAACCAATTAATGCAAACGTTTCCTGCCTTAACAGTTCATGCGGTAGCAGTCACGTGAAGTAAGCAAAGGATGGGAAGAGAAATCGAAGGTACAGTGTTGGGCGGAGCCTGGGATACTAATCGGTAAGCAATGACACGTACCACGTGTCAAATACGACAGTATAGGAGTCGGAGGCGACTGAACCCAACGTACATTGTACAGGCTACAAGAACAGGAAGCAAATCAGACAGAGCGAGAAACGTGCAGCGAGGTACTCACCAAAACGGTTTGTGTCCACGGATGTGCAGTCAGTAAAACAAACGAATGTTTCGAAGGTTAAAACAACCGTAAAATCCAATGTTACAAAATACTGAAAGCGCGTGTTTTCCGGTACACTACAAGGGCCTCCCCCTAGAAGGCTGAAGAATGGAAGCCTTCGATGGAGCTGTTAGTGGGGGGAGCGGAAGGTGAGGGTGGATGCGAATGTTTGCAGGGGCTTGAGAAGGGCTTCCCAAGTGGGGTATGTGGCAGATTTCGCTGGGTCCAGGCTTTTGTTAGTTATTATTTATGACGATCGTGTGGACCAGAGTGCATAATCGGTGGGCCGTCGGGGCGGCTGGTCGGACTGCAAAAAAAACTGGCTAGTCCGGAAAAAAGGCCGACAGGACCTTCCATTTACTGCAGACCCAACGGTGCGCTTGGGAGGTGTCACTCCCCCCACCGCACTTTAGTCCACGGTCCTCGTCCCACGGAGAAATCCAGGCGTCCTCGTCGGCAATGCTTAGGCGACGTTTGGGGACCAATCCGTTCGTGGGTGTCTGCGGTCGAGGGCGGCTGTTTGTTCCTTGGGTGAGAAAGGGGGCTTTGGGACGGCTGGCGAATCACTCGAGGGTTGCGTTGAGCCGGTTGGCGAGTCACTCGAGGGTTGCATGGGCAGTTCCGGCGGTTGAGTTTCTGGAAGGTAGAACTCAGACGGGGTGGGCAAGGGTCGGGGAAGCGGCTTGACGCCGAAGAGGATACATAGCATGCATGATAAAAGCAAATAAGCTTTTTAGGTTTTCAAAATGTTTCGGGTTTTTTGTCGATTTTGCAAAACATTTGTGGATGAGACGCAGGATAACCATTAAAACGAAAAAGGCGTGTTAATGGAAAGGGCAAACGCTTACAAAATCTGAAAAACGGACCGGACGTTTGACCTGTCTACCGCGTCGGTCGGTTGCCTGAGGTTGAGGAGGGATAGGTTGCGGGTCAAGGGGAACGGAGGGTTCCGGGCTATTCAGTGCTCGGGAAGTCATCACAGGTGCGGGTGCTTGTGCGAGAGCATCAGGATGGGCTGCAAGTAGCTCGTCAAAGAAAACCACTTTGAAGCGGTCGATGGACATCGTTGTTCGTTGACCATTCTGGGCTAAAGTAAAATGTTTCGGAGTCCGTTACAGAACTCTAAAAGGGCCAGTGTAGGGAGGCTGGAGAGGGCGCCGCACTGCGTCCGTGCAGAGGAAGGCGTGGGTGCAGGTAGAGAGTCCGCTGTGCATTTGCACATCTCTAGTCTGTTCACGGGGCGGGGTCGGGCGTAGTGAACGCATACGTTGAGCTAGGGAGGACGCAAAGTTAGGCGGAGGCATACCCGACGAGGCGGGAGGTAAAACGAATTCTCCTGGTAACTTTAGCGTCGTGCCGTAAACCAGCTCTGCTGGTGCAATGTGCAAGTCAGCTTTGATGCTGCTGCGAATGCCTAAGAGAACGAGCGAAATGTTTTCGCTCCAGCTAGGGTCGGAGAAGGCGCAGAGAGAGGCTTTAAGCTGTCTATGGAAGCGTTCAACTAACCCGTTGGCTGCTGGGTGATACGCTGTGGTATGAATGCGGCGACAGCCTAAAAGTTGCAGAACATATCGAATTGTGAAGATTCGAAAGGTGTTCCTCGGTCAGTTGTGATGGTGGATGGGCATCCGTAGTGCGTGACCCACCGGTCCAAGAAGGCCCGCATAACAGTCTCAGCTGTGCAGTCTGTTACGGGGATGGCTTCTGGCCATCTCTTGAAGCGGTCGACACATGTAAGAATGTATACGAATCCGCGCGACGGAGGCAATGGACCTACCAGGTCTAAGTGTACATTCGAGAACCGAGAGTCCGGGGCAGGAAATGAACCAAGAGGACTGCGGGTGTGACGTACTTTGGAGCGCTGGCATTGAAGGCAGGCGCGAGCCCAGGTACGAACATCTTTGTTTACGCGTGGCCAAACGAAACGTTCGGTGACCAGTTTCAAAAATGCACGGATACCGGAATGTGATAGTGAGTGAAGTGCGTCAAACACTGTGCGTCTGAAGGAGACGGGTACGAGAGGTGTAGGACAACCTGTGGAAGTGTCACAAAGAATGGTTCCTTCCGTGGTTTGGGGAGGAACAGGTTGCACATGCAGCGAAGTGGACTGCATTGTGCGTTGTATATCTTCCTCTTGAGCCTGAGCCGATGCCATGGCGGCAAGGTCGACGGTAGGCAAAGACTGCAGAGTGAGGTTGACGTATGAGAGCGCGTAGGCGACAGGTACGTCAACACCAGAGACATGAAGTATGTCAGCAGTGAACTGCGTGACAAAATCTAGGTGTCTTGTTTCCCGTGGTGAGTATTTGTCGCTAGCAGAGTTGAAGGTAAAGATAAGGAGCTTGTGGTCAGTGTAGACCGTGAAAGCGCGGCCTTCTAGTGTGTGCCGGAAGTGACGAATGGCTAGGTAAATGGCGAGCAGTTCTCTGCCAAACGTGCTGTAGCGGGATTCTGCTGGCTGCAGGCGCTTGGAGAAGAACCTAAGGGGTTGCCATTGCCCACCAACGTGTTGTTGGAGGACGGCTCCTACCGCGACGTCTGATGCATCAGTCGTAATAGAAAGAGGTGCAGTCGATTCGGAATGAGCGAGGAGGGCTATGTTAGAGATCGCATCCTTGAGCTCGGCGAAGGCTGCCTATGCTGTGTCAGGGAAAGCGAACTTACGTTCATTTCCTCTGAGTAGGTCAGTCAGTGGCTGCATGAGCTGAGCGCAGCGCGGAATGAAGCGTCGATAGTAGTTGACCAAACCACAAAATCGACGGAGGTGCTTGAAGGAAGTCGGAGCTGGGAAGTCCTTGATTGCCTGGATCTTATCAGGAAGGACTTCGATACCAGACGATGAAACGAGGTTGCCTAGGAATTCTACCGTTGATTTGCCGAGTTTGCACTCAGTCGGGTTGACTGTGACACCGTGTTGGGTCAAGCGCTGGAAGAGAGTTCGAAGATGCTCGAGGTGCTCTTGTTCTGATGAACTGGCTACTAAAATATCATCCAGGTAGGAATAGGCGAAATCAAGGCCACGAGTGACATCGTGGATGAAGCGTTGGAAGGTTTGTGCGGTGTTGCACAGTCCAAATGGCATTCTTAAAAATTCAGACAAACTGAAAGGAGTGATGACGGCTGTTTTAGGAATGTCATTGTCTTCCACAGGTATCTGGTGATAGGTGCGAACCAGATCGATCTTGCTGAAGACCGTCTTACCTGTGAGGCATGCGGTAAGGTCCTGCATGTGTGGGATGGGATACCTATCTGGGACGGTTAGGCGATTGAGTGCGCGGTAACCACCGCAAGGGCGCCAGTCACCAGATTTCTTGGGGACCATCTGCAGGGGCGAGGACCAACTGGTGTCATAAGGGCGGATTATTCCAAGTTCAAGCATGTGCTCAAACTCCGCCCTGGCTACCTTTAGTTTCTCGGGCGATAGTCGGCGTGGACGGCATGACACAGGTGGGCCATTCGTCCGTA